CAGCACTTTAGAAAGAGAATAGAACTGTAGTGCTGAACTTGATACTATTGATAACTCTTAGATAAGCTTGATAAGTATGTTGGTATTACTGGAACTGCATTGGTTTGGTTTAGGTTTGGTTTAGGTCTCAATGAAAAGACATCAATTTGAGTACGCTGTGAGGTACTGCATGGCTCAGTTCTTGGTCCCTTGCTTTTTCCATTAGAAATGCTACCACTATAGGTGATATCATAAAAAAAAAAAAAAAACACATAGACAAAGAATTGATCGATAAATTTTATATTTTTTTCACTGTTATGCTGACCATGCTAAACTCTATGGCCCAGTTTCACAAACAGGTCTTAGATTAAGCCAGTATAGGCCTTAGTTAATTTAGGCTATTTGAGCCAAATTATAAAAAATAGCCTGAGAAAAAAAAAAATGACTCTAATGTGTTTCAAGACATCTCACTGCAAGTTATTTTGAGTTGAGACACCCCAAACATGTAATTTAATCTTGAATAGCCTCAGGCCCAGATTGAGAATTGACCCTTTGCCAAGCCACACCCAAAAACCGCCACCCACCAATCGTGGCTTAGCAACTGTAGCTATGCGCAAGGCCTCTGTCAAGCTTTCGAGCGAGTGCATATGGATTGTGCAAATCTGATACCCGGTATCCTTAAAGTTTGGATGGGATGATGGAATTTTTTCCCTTTTCAAAACCTGAAACTCTAGAAGAGAAATACCAGCGTGGATCAGGCTGTGTGAGGGGCGCTAAAGGTGAGCTAAGTTGGTTTTGTTTTGATATTCCTGACACATTCAGTGATAGACAGACGGCAATAACTCACACACCTCTTACCCTTAACAGATCTAAACTGTTTCCTAAAAAAAACACAAAGCTGGTTATGTTTCATAGCTGTCTAATTCCTTTTTTTCCGCTCGATATAGTGAGTAATGCTCCATTTAAGCCTTCGCCATAACGTTAGTAACTTGGTCATGCTAATAGTTCATAATGACATGAGTTATTGATCTGGAAAATACGAATCTGTTGCTAACTTTACTGAACTATATATTTCCAACTATTTCAAGCTACGAATATTTGAAATTACAAATCAACAGAACAAAACTGAGAAATGATCACAAACTGAGCATTCGCAATCAATATACTTTACCAGCAGCTGTTTTTCATTAATTTATAAAGAGCACACAAACATACTGACAGTAATAGGTAAATTACTGTACTTTGTTATGGGTCAATGATGCTAATATTCGACAGAAATCCATCAGTTTTCCCTTTCTGGCTGTTCTTTCTATGAATGAACTATGTAAAAGCTCTGTCCATGCGTGTTTTCTCATTGGTTAATAATGCTATATTTCATTGCACAACAATTAATCAGGCTTTTGGCTAAAAATAGAGAAATCACAATTTCATTTGTTATCATTGGATTATATTTTTAATTTCACCTCTCCTGCTAAGCATGAGCTAACCTGTTGAATGGTTAGCATATGAGGCGGCTAGGCTAAGCTAGCTCCAATTTTGATTGATTATTCTCTAATGGGTTTCCCATTATGTGGTGAATATACCCCTGTAATGCATACTGCAGTCCTTTTTTATCTGGCTTTCTCGGATATCTCACCTGTTCGCCAAAAATGACTATATCCCTGAGAATGTCTGATACTGGCGCACACACATTGAAAAAGCTGTGACAGGCACGAAAGCTTGACAGGCGTAGCAACAGTAAGTAAGAAGGGCGGGGCTTAGCGAAGGGTCCATTCAGACGCCCCTGGGCACAATGTCTTGCAGGCCCCCTACCTGGTTGAACCCCTATTGTTAAATTAAAAAATAAGAATTGTATAATATAAAAAAATTTGAATCTTTAATGCATTTCCCACATTTTTAAAGTAAATGATATACAGTACATCTATTTCTAGTCTACAGAGATTTAACACATTTTTAAAGCATTTAAAGCACACTTTGAAAAAATATATATACAACTAGTGAAAATGAATGGATTTTAATATACTTGTTAAGGTTCACTAAAGAAGTACAAAAAATATATTCATTCATTTATTTTATTTTCAGCTTAATCCCTTTATTTATCCGGGGTCGCTACAGTGGAATCTTATCCAGCATGTTTTTACAAAGTGGGTGCCCTTCCAGCCGAAACCCATCCCTGGGGAACACACAAAAAAAGATATTTAAGGGTATTTTTAATGTCTAACTTCTACAAACTTATAATGCATATGATTTGGATATAACACCTCTCCAATCCAGTATTATGAATCTGAATCTTGCATAATACACACACTTAATAATGATTCACACTTGTCTTCCTTGTGATGATGAGTAGGCAAAATCTGATATGTAGTGGGGGGTAAAGAAAAATGAGTTCATCACACGCTGGATTCGAACCGGGTTCATGATTGCGTCAAAACAAGTTGCCATGCAATTTACAAGCTACGCCACTCAGTTTAGTTATATTGTCTCTGTCAATGAAATGGTGATGGGTTGGGAATCACTCAATTAGCTTATTCCAACAAGGTGCGCTATTTGCATTTAGCCTAAATAGACACTCCGAAATCGTCATTGTTTGTGAAACCGGGGGTAAATTTCCCCACCAAAACCAAAAACCTATCACACAAAAAACTAGAATACTGCCTGAACAATCCTCTTTCTGGAAACGTACCCCTATATACATTTCTGCAGAGTGCCACTTCCCAGGAGGTACGAGGTATGTTTTTTTTTTTTTGTTGTTGTTTTTGTTTTCGCATATCCACCAGAGACCACTGTGTACACTTTTTGAGATCTCAAATTTTCTCGCAAATGCCTGCTCATCTAGCATAAATCCACCAACTGAATGACTGACTGAGCGACTGATTGATCGACTGACCCACCCTCCTCCTTCCCGAAACCCAACCGATAGTGTTTTCAAAAGCACCAATTGACCAGTGCCCACCCACTTCCAAAAACCCAAATGACAGTGTTTTCAAAAGCAATCCAGAAAAAGAAAAGCCCCCCTAAATTTATCAATGATTTCAGATTTTACCACATTCTCACAGAAGTAAGCGGTCAGCTGGTAAGCGTGAAAAGGTAAAATTTATACTACCGGCATGCGAAGGCTGCGCCGGACCATTTGCATGTTCACATGCCCCTTGCCCTGGCTGATGGTGACGCACAAGCTCTGTGATTGATCTGCTTGCTAACGCTGATGAGTGTGGGCAGGGGTAGGAGCTGCGCTAACCCATTGGAGTGAGTGTTTACAAGTGTTGCGTTCCCTGAAGGAGCTCCACCTTATGATAAAAGATTTTGCAAGTCCGCCGGTTATATCATGAGATAAATTTAATACTGCATGTGTTCAGAATTTTTGGTAAAATTGTGCTGCAAAATTGACTAGAAAATATGGTTAAAATGCAAAACTAAAGAACTTGATGAACTCAATATTACTTTGCTGCGTGTTTATTTACTTTTAAATATATGGGGTGAAATGTGATCTGGACATGTTGTGAGATTCACCTAGAGGTGTGGAGAGATGAGAAGGCAGGATGTGAATGGCAGTGCTGGAAACAGTGTTAAATACACGCACACACTGACTGATCACTCCCATGGGGCCATCAGGCATGTCGTTTGGTATTTGTAGTTTGTACCTCCATCATCATAGGAAGGAGAAGCAACACGATCACAGTCACTGAGGACACTCTTATAAACACTACTGCTATTAACTAAACTAATACAAACACAACCAGCCAAATTGAGTGAAAAATAGATATCCAAACAAGCCCAAAAAAAAAAAAAAATCTCAGATGCATCCCAAAGCAAAACAGCCTGGAATACCTGTTAGAGTATGAGTGTACTATAAATAAACAGATGGAGTGTGTTTCCATCATCGAACACAATAGAAGAGCTCTCTCGGTTCCAAGAGGAGAGGAGAGAGAGCATCTTGAGTGTAGTGCTGTTTAATAAACAACTCGTGCTTCCAACCTGCTCTCATTCCATCCTAAAAGCATCAAAGATTACGTATATCGTGACATCAGTGTCATAAGCTTCTGATTATAAAGAGATTTGGGCTCAAAAAAGAATATTTGCTCATTTTAAGCTAGTTTCTATCTATCTATCTATCTATCTATCTATCTATCTATCTATCTATCTATCTATCTATCTATCTATCTATCTATCTATCTATCTATCTATCTATCTATCTATCTATCTATCCACATAGCAAAATTTCTTTGGTCCAGATCTGGCCCACACAATAAGCTTTAGCTTGTTCACATGTCGCAGGGAATTACGGTATATGACTGGACCAAGTCTGGCTTCCATATAAGGGCCAAACATAGACCATATCTGGGCCTAGTCTCAGCCACATTAATAACCCATAACCCTGAACTGAGGTAGCTATGGACCGTGGTTGGCCATTGTCATTATTTGGTGTCACGGCTGCAATGCAATTGATAAACCCATGAAGCATTGCACTTTAGGCACGTAATAATGGTAATAATTAGTAATGGTAATAATTTTATATAATTTTATAATTACTAATAATATAATTTGTCAATTAATAATTTGGTTAATGAAGTATATGTAATGTAGTTATGTAGCCTACGTTTTTGTACGACAGCGTGTGTTTGCGAACGCTAAAAAAAGTGATGAATAATGTGTATTCTATCACGAGGGTTGTCGATAACGAAATGTAAAACAAGCTATTACGTCTTACACAAACTAAAACAACGTGAGTGGCCCAGAGTTTATCAATTCACAACTTTCCTCCCAAACACCCTCGGGGATGTTAGTCAGCATCTCACAGCTGTGTTGACATCTCCTCAACACGTCCCAGCCGCTCCAATAAATTAGACAGGCAACAAATATAAACAATTTCACTTTATTTTACTTCCCGGATCGGTTCAACAGCCTCGGTGTCTATCAGGAAATGCGATAATATGCGATAATGTCCCATGTGGTGGAATGGACCGCGGCGGGGCGACTTTAAATGTGCTGAGGGAAAGGGGAGGGAGCGCGCAGTAGATTCTCTCAGCGCGCGCTCATCTTCAGTCAGTCCGTCGCGCGCCTGCTCACTGTCCACAAGAGCCACTGCAGGGAGACTACAGATACTTGTTTTAAGGAAGAAACGCCAAGATTCCTGACATATCTTTTGTATTTTTGTTTTTGGGTCACATTAAACTCTTTAAAGCGACATGTGGATTTACAAAATTTTGCTCTGTGTGGCCGTTTTGGTTTACTCAGGTAAGTTTGATTTTCGTCTTTCAGTGAAAGCTTGTTAACATGTGCCATTATTTACTATAGCAACTATCATATTTTAAAGTATAATAACAGTAACTTTAGGGATGAGACTATGCTTATTGTGGTAATTGTTACAAGTGTTCACCAATATCTCCTCCCAAGCTTATTTAGGAAACTATTTACATGGGTTTTGCATGGGTCATTCCTAATACCTACTAAGATTTTAACATTTATTTCTTTATTTCATGAAAGAAACATCTTCCAGTCTTCATACTTGTAGATTCAGGTGTAGTTGGATTTACATAAATACATATTTTAAGCAAGTTAAAAGTTGAAACAAAGAAGCCTATTGGACCTCTGATATAAACGTGTTTAATTATTGCATGAATTTACACCACAAACTTTTGTTTATTGTTAACAAATTGGTCTAGAATACTGAAACAATGTAATAAATTCACTTTTATTATTTTTTTAATAATGATACATACAAATTATTTACATGTGTATATTTCAATTGTGGATTCGATGATTACATTTACCATATTTTATATATTAATGTTCATGCAAATATATAAATGTATTCTGCATTATCAATGGGTATATGCACGTCATCATAACATCAGTGTTGAACATTATTTTTAATGTGTTAGGACACATTTTAGGCCTTATGGTGTAACAAAACACATTAGGCACAAAATCTGTCTCTGGGATGTGCTTACTATTTTGTACCACTTAGGTACTAATAAGGTACCAGTATGCCCCCTTTAGGAGTAAATTAGGTACAAAGGTGTACCTTTTGGAATGAGACCATTTTTCAAGGAGAGTATTGAAAAAATGCTTTTGTCTTCATAATATTTAGTGAAAATTGTATAATTGGCTTCTTTGGAATGGCATTGCTTCTCTGATTATGTCATTTTGACTGTGTGGGCTCATCATTTAAGAAGGGGGTGTGCTGAGATCAAGCCCCACCCTCATTTTTTCCCATTCTGTATCACTTTTCATTTGGAGAAAAAAATAATAATAAAATCACAATATTGGTATAACTTCTTTGCAACTCATTGAGATTGATTGATGTGATAATCTTGTATTAATTTTAGCATGGCCAATTTTTATTTATTTTTTTACTCCACAAGTAGGTCTGCACGGTCTTGAAAAAATCTAACATTGCAATATTTTGTTATTCTGCAAAATATATTGCAATATAAAAACATTTCACCCTATGACTTGAATATATGTATTCGAAAATAATTTTCTATTTTCGATGGATTGGGATTATTCTATTGAGAATAGAATTGCATCTGAATAAAATATAATAAACCATCTACAAGCATATATCACTACAATTTAAAAAAATATAACAACGTGATCGTTTTCAGAGTCTAGCATTATTCAGGCAATTGTTTAATAAAAATAAAAACTGTCCAACACTAAAATTGATCATTATTAAAGTTATAAATGATACAATTTCTTATCCCTGAATGCTTTTAAAATCATTATAGTCACAGGCTTCTAAAACACGACAAAATTTATAATAATATATAAACTCAACATTGCATATCCTGCGATGTTACTATTGTGAATGATCACATTGCGATGTCAATGCTGAAACGATATATATTGTGCAGCCCTATCAACAAGTAAAAATAGTTTCAATCTGTAACAATTAGGTGATGCCAAAAACTATACATCTGAGTTTAGCTGGACTGTATATCAGCACCATTGGAATGCCAATTACCCATTAAAATTTGTTGACCAGTTCTAAATAAGAGTATGCTGCATAAATTTGACCTTTTTATTAGAATATTATATATATATATATATATATATATATATATATATATATATATATATATATATATATATATATATATATATATATATATATATATATATATATATATATATATATATATATATATATATATATATATATATATATTATATATATATATATATATATATATATATATATATATATATATATATATATATATAAATATATATATATAT